ATTTAGTGATATTTTTTTATTCATTTTAGATATAATCAGCTGTAGACATTTCAGCTGATAGACAGAATGTTGTAGATACCATACTATTTAAACCGAATTGATTAAACTTAAAGTTTTCTATTATGTTCCTTCTTTTTTCTTGCAAAAGAATATCTATTTCTCTCTCAGTTTTTGATGTTCAATGACTTGTGGAAATTGCTCTCAATAATCAAGGGTAAAAGTACGGGTGTAAACGAGTCTAGCCTCGAGCTCTTAACAAGATTATAATCGAGATCGTGCCCCGCTCGTTCTTCAATATTAATGAGCTGAGCTCGAGCCATAACGAGTCAAAATTGAGTAGAAAATACATAAAAATCATCTTTTCGAGCCTTAACCCGTCTTATCATCAACTGAGCGGCTTAACGAGCCTTAACGAGCCGAGCTCACGAGCGACTTATTAAATTTAACAGCTCTAAATAAAACTAGACTAAGCTTAGATATCATTAAATAAGCTAAACTCGAATTCGTTAAAGCTTGAATAATATTTTTTTTTTTTTTATCTAATCTTCTAAATATTTAGTATAATTTGCTCTTTTAAGGCTCGTTAACAAGTGAGCCCGTTTATCTGCTCTACTCTGTTAGTTTCTAGGTACATCTAGGAGTAGCTAAGTAGGACTTCCATTAAGATATTATACAAATTACTGAAAATTATTCCAGATTATAATGTTAATAGGTAGTTAACAAAAAAAATGAACTAAAAATATTAACAACTTATTAGGAAATTTAAATGATTATTTAGACCGTAAAGTAAATGTTTAAACTCTGAAATAACTGCAACACTTCAGTCAAAGATGAGCCTTCCTCTGTTCAATAATGATGACTGTTTCACATTGACTTGGGCAAAACTAATTTTGCTTCCTATGGGCCTGTTTCACAAAAACCTACGGGAGACTAAAAGTATGTTTAGTTTATAGCTTATTTTGTTAGCTTAAAAATTTACTGTATTCAAATAAGTTTTATCTGGTAGGACGAACTTTTAAAAAAAGCTCGAACTTATCTCATAAGTTTATCTAGATAGCTTTTCTAATAAGTTGGTTGAAATTTTTATTTTAGCTAGTGTATTAATTATTTTTATCATATACGCTAGTTTTTCAACTATTAATCAAAAACTATAAACTGGATAAATTAATCAAATAAATTATAAGCTAGCTATTTTGCTTACTAAACACTCTCAATCCACCCTTAAAATATCTATAATAAGACTTTCTATTTATCTTTGCGAATTCGTCATATAAAAACATACACTTATGCACAATTTTTTTTTTTTAAACCCAATTTTTGATACTGTTCCCTAGATTTCTGATGCAACAACCAACGTAATTTGCACATTTTTTCTTTTTGAATAACACTAATGCTGGCTCGTATGTTGTTTACAATGTTCTTTCCACTCACATATATGCAGATGGTTATTCTGATATTTGAGTTTGCCAATTTCCAGTCTCAGCCACCTACCTCTCTTTTCCTGTCATCTCCGCGAATGAATGAAGATGATGATAATCACAGGCATTTGGAGTAGAGTATTGGTTCCAATTCCTCCAACATTTACTTGAGAGATTTCTATCAATTCCCTCAACTATGATAGGGAAAACATGGTGTATAGCCATCCATCTTCACAAACCGCTCGTTCATAGAGAGCCCTCTCAGTCTCAGCAACCTAAATCGCAAAAGACGGCCAATTTAAGTCTCATCTTTTTAAACAATTAATTTAGTGTCTGCATACAAAAGCAAAAAACCTGAAGAAACTAAGAAACCTTGCAATTTGCAAAGGAAACTTATTACTACTGGGTGTTGGTTATCTGGCAACACAAAGGCAAAGCTAGAATGAATTGCTCTTCAGCCCCCATACTCAATGAGCAAAACCACAGTTGGTCATCGGCCAATATATATCTGAAAATACCCCTAACTGCCCCAACTGCTGGTGGAACTCCTCCTTCAACGGCACTCTAATTAGAATCTGGAGCAAGTCCCCAATCCCACATCCAAGAGAATGCCTCCCATTGCATTTCTGGAGCCTCGCGTACAGATATCTTGTGGTAATTAAGCGACTTGATGTATTAATTTTCTCTTTACACTTGATGGGTTAGACCATCTCCAGCCCTTATCTCTACTCTAGCGCGGACTTTACTCTATTCTAGAGTAGAGTTGAGCATTCATCTCCAGCCCTTATCTCTACATTTTACTCTGCATTAAATATATTATTTTTTTATTTATTTTTTATTTCAAATAAATTATTATATATGTATATTTAATATTATTTTTCAGTTTTTAGTTCGGGTTCCTCTAAATAAATGCTCGAAACTTCGAATACTCGATAAATGGCTCGAATGGCATCGTGCCAATAAGATCTACTCGCCCCAACTCGTTTCTCATCAAACCGAAATCTCACGCGACCTTGCGGGGCCGACGTGAACGGATTTTTATTTATTTTACTAATATGCACCCTCAAATTATAACTTCTCAAAATAAATGATCGGGGCTTCGAAATACGAAATAAATACCACGAACGACTTCTCCTCTTCTCATGCTTTCTAGAAAGCATTCTCACTAATACTCGATCCGCTAAACGAGGGCCGACGGGGCAGCCGAAGTTGCGACTTGAAATGAAGCTTATTTTGACCAAATTAAGAGAAAGTTGCAGCTGCAAATTGGTATATATGTATATTTAATATTATATAAAATGTTTATTACCCAAATAAATAAAAAATACAAAATTATTTAACATAAAAAATACATTGTACAAAGTTACTTAACATAAAAATACATTTATTAATACATATTATACAAAAATTTATCATTAATATTACATAATAATAAAAAAAAAAAAAAAAAAAAGACTGGCGCAGATGAACAGTGTTGCGCCACAACTGGCGCAACAGTGTTCATGTATCTGATATAACGTTGAATTGTAGCGTAGGACTGGAGCACAAAAAGTGCATTTTCACGCCTGAGTAGAGCTGCACTGGAGAAGGCCTTAATAGTACGAGGAGAATGTCATAAACTAGGCTGCTCGTCGTCTTCCAGGAAGAAGAAAGCCGCCGGGGGGTTTGGAAGAAAGTCATGTAACTGCTTTGACTACTCTTAATTTTCACTATAATCAAAAAAACCAAACGAAAAACAAATGAATTATACTATGGCAGTCGGGTAAAAGTATGTTAAGAGCATCTCCAATAGTATATTGTCCATTTGGAGATGGAAAAAAAGATATACAAAATTTTGTCTTTAATTTGACATGTGTAAAATTATAATTGGTTGGGATGAGATATATATTTAATAAATAATAAAAAATATAATAGAGGACATAGAAAAATTCTAGACATTTTGAAAGGATTAATCATGTCACGTGACAACAAAAAGGAACAAAAAAGGATATTAAGATCGGTGAGCAATTGATATTTCCGCAAGTTTTGAGTCCTGGTGAAATACGTTTCTGGCCTGGCGATGGATATTGATATTAATCCAATTAGGACACTTTTTAAAATAAAATCCTAATCCTACTCGCCTTCGGCCATGGACGACCCCCCTATTAAACTTCAATTTAAGCCGCGATTGGCGTCACGAGCTCCAGATGTTTGCGTTCAAGAGCATGAGCTACACGAGCTTGAAGGACCTCCTGCCGGAGTCGTCGGCGGGCGGCGGAAGAAGCCGGAAAGAGATCGCGATCAGGGACCCGCTGCTGCAGCACGCGGCCTGGGCGTACCTGCAGCCGGGGGCGCGCGAGGAGGACGGGCGGCGGTGGTGGAGGAGGCTGGCGGGGAGGTGTGGCGTCGTTCTGGGGTGTCTAAACGGCGTGGTTTCGGTGGTGTGCAAAGGTCTGTTTGGAGAGCGAGCTGATAAGGGCAATGAGGATAACATGACAATTGACTGACAAGGCAAAGCGGCGTTTTTTAATTTGAAGCTTTGTTTTTGACACCGGTGAACTGGATTTTCTTTCATCTATTCTTTTGTTTTTAGATCAAAATTCTTTTTAGTGATTTTTATTTTTTTGCCCTTTGTGTTTAGTTTTAGCATATTTGATTGTTAGGGAGATTTTTTTTTTTTTTTATTTTTTTTTTGTTTGATTCACATCAAAATCAAGTTAAATGTCAATTTTGGTGTTCAATTATATACCTCATGATCTTAAGGTCAATTTGTGATAGTCCCACGATCTTGCAACTATGTACACAAGTTAATATGTTTACTAAAATATATGTTTTAATACGCGACTAGTTGATATATTTTAATGAACGTACGTCATTTGGGATATTTGATTTATGTTTCCTTCGTTTTTGGCACGGGAATAAAGTTGTTAAACGAAACTAGATAGTTGTAATTTCGGATCAACACGTTTATTGAACTCGTTTAGTTAATTAGTCGAATTCGACGCAGCTTGATAAAACTCGAACACGGCTCGAGTTCAACATGTTAATGTTTGAGTTCGGCTCGTTAATATTGATTAATGAGCCAATGATCGAGCTCAAGCAAGACTCAACTCGTTTAAACCGCTATCAACACACATATATATCATTTGCATGTCTCTTTTTTTCCCATGGACTCTCTGCAGCAGATAAATAAAATTTTTACAGTACATGTATGTGTATATATATGTTTCTGATTATTTCTTAATTTATTATGTTAAAGGTACATTAACTGTGACAAAATCATCATACATTACAATGAAAGCTCATAATGTAACTAACATGGGACTTACAACATTACAAACCTTGTTAATAAAACCCCAAGCATGTCACAATCTGAGAATTTTTCAAAACCAAAATTCTGGAAATTTTGATGCAAGTATATATATATATATATATATATATATATATATATATATATATATATATAGGGTAGGGTTCTAATAAGAACTCCATATAGTGTAAGAACTAGGAACCAATCTTAACCACTAATTATACTAATATTAACGATTCAGATTAGATTTAAATTACTGCCATTATTTGCACATAAGTTATGTCCTAATTAAGTTGTAGGGTATCTATGGAAGTAAAAGTTTTTTATGTTACCATATTCATTGCATCTCCATATATTTATTCTTGGAATATTTAAATGTAATCTTTGCAAACATAAAATAAATGTATATTAATATTAATGGAATTTATTTACAACAATTTTGTTGCTTCTTTTTAATGGTTGTGATGTTTTTTTATTACTATATATGCTTTCCTTTATTCTAGTTTATGAATTTCTTTATTATAAAAATAATGATTTTTTTTCCTTGTACATATATTGATTAATATGTATACTCAAAAACTTAAAATCATAAAAATAGCATTATGACCAGATAAAAATAGCATCATAATGGGACATAAATAGGAATATAGAATGTGCTAATATGTGTAAAGGACGTTGCTATTATTCTCTAAAATTGTTGCTAAAATTTTAAATTGATATTAGTTTATAGTATTTTGCCAAAATTTTATTCTTCTTTAGAATGAATTGTATGTTTTATAGCACGCAAGTTGAGATAAAAACTAAATGAAAATATATTTTTTGTTGGTATTTTTTGTGTAGGTGGTTCCTTCTTATTTTATTGAAATAGACTATCTTTGAGTCTATGATTGTGTATATCAACTTTCAAGAGTTTTTGTTGCTTTCATTTATTTATTTTTTTTGCTAGTAATATGTATTACGTGTGGTTCAGTTCAAAATATTTAACTTACTAGTTGAATTGAAGACATTGCGTGGAAAAGGAAGTGACTAGCTAATTCTTACCATTTTAAATCTAAGTCTAAATAATCTCTCCATAAAACTCTGTACTAATGTAATTAATAAACAACAATGTTGACAAAAATAAACACTCATAATTAAGTGTAGTGTTTTAAATAAGTAAAATAAAAAATATTTGAATCAATCAAGACCATCAATATTAACATAATCAATGACTAGGATTGGTTCCTAGTTTTTACACTAGGATTGGTTCCTAGTTTTTACACCAACATAGAGTTCTCATTTGAACTCTCTCCTATATATATATATATATATGTTGAGTGCGTACATTAATATGCTCTAAGCATCCATGAAATATGAATAAATGAAAATGATACAACATTTTAAAACAGATGAAAATTTTACCAGTAATCTCCACACGAGCATCGATCATCCTTAAAACGATGCCACATTTTCGAATCCCCAACAACTATTTCCCTGTTCGTAACACGCGAAATCTTCTTTACTGCCCAATGGCAGTCTCCGCATATTCTCACGTTTTTTCTAACGACCAATGGGTCCCCGACAGGTGTCCCGATCAACCCAAAGCAAACAGCCAATCTCACACTGTGATTCACCGGACGGTCTTTTCTCGTTTTCACCAAATCCGGCAGCTTGAATTTAGTCACATTGCAAGAACATGCCTCCTCCTCGCCAATCTTTCTCGACAAAATATCGACAACATTATATATAACGCCACTCTCGTTTTTCGACTTGTCGTAATTTACGAAATTGTACGCTTTACCATTGTGCTCGACCGTGCTGAATCCGGTGGTTTTCACCAAACCTCGTTTTTTCATTAATTCTTTAATCCGCTCGACATCTTCCCATCTTCCTACTTCAGTATACATGTTCGAAAGCAGCACGTAGCATCCCGTATTATCATCATCATCGTTTAAAGAGAATATTTTCTCTGCTGCCAGCTCAGCAAGTTCGATGTTTTTATGATGTCTACTTGCAGACAGCAGAGAGCCCCATATCCGTTTAGTCGGTTTTAGCGGCATTTCCTCGATGAACCTCTTTGCACAGTCGAAATTGCCCTCACGGCCTAATAAATCGAGCATGCATCCATAATGTTCGATTTCTGCTTCAATCCCAAATCCTCTCTTCATTAAATCGAAATATTTCCAGCCTTCATCTACATTGCCGGACATGCTACAGGCCGATAAAATCGAAACAAAAGTGCTTTTGTTCGGTTCGAACCCCATGTCTAGCATATCAGAGAACAAACCAAAGCAATATTCTTCGAGCCCATGAATAGCGTAACCCATAATAATCGTGTTCCACGAGATTATATCCTTACACGTCAGATTGTCGAAGACTTTTCGTCCCGAATCGAGATCACCACATTTCGCGTACATATGAATCAGCGCATTCCAGACGAACGTGTCTAAATATATTCCCGATTTAATCACACGGCAATGTATCTGTTTTCCTTCTCCTGGCAAGGCTATTTCGGCATAGGCTGCTAGGACGCTCGAAAAACTCGTCTCGTCCGGCACATGACGAGGCTCGTTTACGTTCAGCAACAACATTCGAAATGTTTCTACAGCTTTCGCGTTTTCCGAATTCTTCACATAAGCCCCGATCATCGCATTCCATGAGACCAAGTTTTTCATCCGAATGAGAGAAAACGCACGTTCGGCGAGGTTTATGCTCCCGCATTTACCGTACATGTCAACAAGAGAAGTCTCTAACACTAAATGACGTATATACCCTTTCCTAATTGCATGCCCGTGAATAGCTTTACCTTGTGACAAAGCACCGAGATTCGAAACGGACGGAAGCAAGTTAATCAATGTGATAGCATCCGGTCTCAAATCGTCATCCTCTTTCATTTTCAAAAGACAAGCAAATGAGTCGAGAGATTTATCACTCCAAGTGTACGCACCAATCATTGCATTCCAAACAACTATATTTTTTTTCCGGGCAGTTATGTTAAATAGCCTCTCGGCATAATCGACTTGACCACATTTTCCAAACATGTCGATCAACGAGCTCTGAATCATAGAATCGAGTTCGATCCCGTTTTTGAGAATTCGGCAAAAAATCTCCTTCCCGCTAGAGAAAGAGCGCTCGAGGGCACAAGCGATTAAACCACTGATAAAACTGAACCTGTCGGGTTCTAATCCCGATTTCTGCATTTTCCGAAGATAATTTAAAGAGGTCCAACCATCACCAAACGAGACATACCCACTTATCATCGAATTCCAAGAAACTAAATCTTTTTCAGGCATACGCCAGAATATTTTCTCTGCTTCCTCAATACACCCGGCTTTAGCATACATCGTAATCAATGCATTGCATATATAGATATCTACATGTAAACCGAGCTTAATTACCGTGGAGTGAATTTTAAGTCCTTCCTTCAAACAGGCAATCACCGCACACGCTTTGATTATGAAAGGAAATGTGAAGTTGTCGGCTTTGACGCCTTGGAACTGCATCCGGATGTACAATTCAATAGCTTCTTCGAACATTCCGGAATCGACTAATCCCCTGATTATTACATTCCAAACGTAAGTGTTTGGTTTGCTCATTGTCTCAAACAGTTGGAGTGCAGATTCCAAACTACCTGATTTTACGAAAGACAGCACCTTTTCAACAGATGAAATTGAACTTCGACAACTCTTGCTGCTTATCGAGCTCGTGCTTGGCCTTGATCCATGGAGTTTGATTCTTGATTGGTGATTTTTGAGTTTTCTTAAAGATTGGAACTTTGCAGGAAATATGTCATATTTTGAAGTATTGGGTTCGATAAGTAGATGGAAATTGATCAATGCATGAGCCATTTTGGTCCGACTCCTTACAGGACTGAAAGGTTCTCAGTTTGGATTAGAGGAGACGACCTTTAATTCTGTTATTTGGGCATTCGTGTAAAAATGGATGAAATGACGCGACCGGGATTTATTTATTTATAGTTCTTACTTTATAAATAAACATAAAGTAGTCTTAGATTATGTTTGTTAAAATTAGTTGATAAATTAGTTATGAGTTTTTTTTTAAAAGGCAAACGTATAACATATCTCATAAGCTTTTTCTTTTACTACGTTCCAGTTTATCTCATAAATTTTTTTAAATAACTTTTTAAATAAGACCGTTAGAAATTTTTATTTCAATTGACTTGAAATTCACTTTTAAACTACGCTTACCAACACATATTAAATTGTTCAATATGATTCTCAAATCATATCATAAATGGTACGGCGAAAAAGATTCAAAACAAACCAAATCCAGAAAAAACTCTTTATTTATTTATTTGTTATTTAAATATAATGATACAGAGACCACACCATTGTCCGCTGACCTACAAATCCCGAGGCAAAAGAAAACAGGCATATATCATCGTCCACGCCACAAGATGGTCCGATTTCGAAACTCCATTTCAAAACCGCAGACTGACGCTAAATATAAATGAATTACACTGATAAATATCTCCAAAGAATAATGTCTTCCCCAGCTCAAAACAAAAACATCTCATCACTTATTCAAAAAACAGATAAGAGATCAAATAAACACCACAATAAAATACACGATCAAACGAACACAATGCAAATCCACGCAGCAAGAAACAGGAACTTCCATCTTGTAAATCCCCTCGTATTTAATTGGATGTGTCCCTGCTGTAATACTGATCGAGTGTTTTTGCTGGAATACGATGAAGCAGCTCCCGAGGGAAGATTCTGAGCAGAGTCCATGCCAAATCGAGCGACTGGAAAATGTTACGTGTGTCGTAGGCTCCCTGTGTGACGAATTTCCTCTCGAATTTATCGAGGAACTCGAGGTACAACTGAACACGAAATAAAGTGGTGCAATCATTAATTCATATTATTAATTCAGTAGTTTGAAGTCTTCTCAGAAGAAAAAAAAAAAAATGGCAACAGATATTGTAGTAATAAAATGTGTGGAATAAGATTAACAGACCAGATCTTCTGAGGAAAGGGCTTCTTCTCCGACCACGGCTTTCATTGCCTGAACATCCTTCCCAATGGCATAGTTGGCGTATAACTACATGCAAATTATAGAAATGTAATCAATAATCACTCAAACAATAAATAAATAATCGAATCAACTCTGATTATGGGATATCGGATAAATTACCTGGTTGGACACGTCAGAGTGGTCCCTACGGGTCATGCCCTCACCAATAGCACTCTGCATAGAACATCATCAGTTAGAATAAAAAATATAAAAATAATTATAATAGAAAATATAACATAATATAATTAGCAATGCCAACCCAAACAAATTGCATGTATTCCTATTTACCTTCATTAGACGAGACAATGATGGCAACACATTAATTGGAGGGTATATCTGTAAAAATCAGGCAGACAATATTCAGCCAAGTTAGATCATTAATAAGAGATCACCATATCATATATTATGTGAAGAAACTTCACAAGGGCAAATGGTTATATAGTTGTCCAACATTTAAAGAGGGTTTCATGGTTTTCATATAACCTATTAAAAAGTAATGGCAAGAACCATCTCCACATTACCTGCCTATTATGAAGTTGTCTGTCAATGTATATCTGCCCCTCAGTGATATAACCGGTGAGATCTGGGGTTGGGTGTGTGATATCTGTTCAATAAACCAAAATAAAAATAAGAGAGCATGAGATTAATATAGGAAACAATACAGAGAAAAGAATTGATTTTCAGATGCAAACGCTCGAAATTACTATAGATTTTACCATCGTTGGGCATGGTTAAAATGGGAATTTGCGTAATGGACCCTTTTCGTCCTTCAATACGTCCAGCCCTTTCATAGATGGTCGCCAGATCAGTATACATGTAACCGGGATATCCACGTCTTCCAGGCACTTCTTCTCGAGCAGCAGAGACCTAAGATGAAATAAGTACACTTATTTATAAGCATGATATTTGGAAGTATCTAAAGAAATAAATATTATACGAAGCCAAGACATATATAGAGAAAATCATATATATATTGTAGAAAGGTCGAAAAAATGGGGAAAAAATATAAGGGAGAAGAGAGAACAAAATTGTCAGTTGATAGAATGAGGCATGGTCAATATTTCAAATAAACTGCTAAACTAATAATTAGATATAGCTGAGAGATGTACCTCACGAAGAGCATCAGCATAAGAACTCATGTCCGTCAATATGACAAGAACATGCTTCCCACATTCATACGCTAAATATTCTGCAGTTGTTAGGGCAATGCGAGGTGTAATGATACGTTCTATTGTCGGGTCATTGGCCTACAGGTCAAGATAAAAAAACACATGTTGGGAAAGGGGGAAAAAAAGGCAAAGACCTTTTTACCAAACATGTACACAAAACATTAGAGTTACAAACAAGGTGATTATGCATTATTTACCAAGTTCAAAAAAAGAGTAACCCTCTCCATGGATCCATTTTCCTCAAAATCACGTTTGAAAAACTGAGCTGTCTCCATGTTGACTCCCATAGCTGCAAAGACAATGGCAAAATCATCTTCTTCACCATCCTGCAGCAAAGAGTTGATTGTGATAAGAATGCTAATGCAAAAACAATCACCTCAATACATTACAAGATAACCAAGTAAAAAGAATAGACACCAATTGGGTAGACGAATACGACTTAAGGTTTTAACACATTCATTCCAAAAATCTAGGGGATCTTCTGAGGAAGGGTTGTTCTAGAATTACTTTTGTTATGGAGATCATATACCTCAAGAAGGTTGTCAGATTTCTCCAGTCGTTTCACCAAACCAGCCTGACGACATATCTGAGCAGCTATTTCATTGTGGGGAAGACCGGCAGCAGAGAATAGAGGAATTTTCTGTCCTCGTGCAACAGAGTTCATGACATCAATTGTGGAAATTCCAGTTTGTATCATCTCTTCAGGATAGGTTCTCTCACTAGGATTGATTGAACTACCTGAAGCAAACAGGTTGAAGACTACATGAGAAATGGCCGCCCAATGTAATATCATAGTCACTAGTTCATACTTCAGTGGAACTTGCCAGATATATCCAAATAAGCCTCGGGAAGAATAGGGGGGCCGTTGTCAATGGGTTTCCCCGAACCATTAAAAATACGACCAAGCATATCCAACGAGACAGGTGTTTTTAAAACCTGCCATAAATCATAACAGAATTGCTATAAAAGCTGACCTTATAAAATGAAGGAAGTTGAAGGTTTTGGGAACTCAAAATCGCATGAAAGACACAATACAAAATCAATTTTAAATTAGAGATACAACAAAGTCAAATTCAAAACACCTAGAAGTCAAGACATTCATAAGTGCAACCGCCTCTGTAGAGTGCCCATCTGGACCATATAACACTCCAGCACTGCTCAACTTAACCATAACAGAGATAAAGTAAGGTCTAAATCCCTCGGATTTGAACTCCACATTCTTTGAAATAATAATTTATACCAAAAGTTCCAGGCAGAGAAAGCAGGCAATATAAGTGCGAACCTACATGATATGGTCTAAAAATTGTGTGTGTGTGGTGGGGGGGCATATATAGGTGGTAATGTACAAGCAACCGAATCCTAGAACGGCAGCTGATGGAAGCTACACCTAAAGCCCCCTCCCAGCCAACCATCAACATAAAATAAATCACTCACGGAACACTGAGTCACATTGCATCAAACAACATCATAATTTCTGACAGACAAAACTAGAGCAAACTGGAGCAACTGTACCTCCCCAGTAAACTGAACAGTTGTATATTTGTTGTCAATTCCAGATGTTCCTTCAAAAACCTGGTAACCACAACATATGAAGAAAAACAATTCTTGGATTAGCAACTCCTCAACGATAACACTGAAAGGTATTGGAGCTACTGAATTCAAGTAAAAGTCTCCACTGGATCTGGTGAAGCGCAATATAACTACCATTAAATAGTAAGTTGCTGACGAGGTTAAAAAAAAGACAGATGAGAAGAAAAAATAACAGACATCAGAAAATTCAATAGTAGCGCAAATAATCAAATATCACAAAGTAACTAAAGGAATGAACCCATTAAAAAAAGAATTACAGATGAATTTGATGGATCACCTGAACAACAGCCTTATCTCCATCAACCTCTAACACTTGCCCACGTCGGGTCGTGCCATCTCCTAAGCGAATGTTCACAATTTCCATGTACTTGGGTCCCTGGCATAGTATTTCATAATGACATATAAATTGTACTGACCCCATATCCACACTGCATAAAGCTAGAGATGTATGTGCAATGCCACAAAGCATAATGATAGCAGAAGAACATTTACCTTGACTTTGTCAAGAATAACGAGAGGTCCAGCAACCCCGGACACAGTTCTATATTCTGCACACATTTGAAAGAAATAAAAAGTGTAAAACTCAATCCTTATGATAATTTGTTGGAAAATATTAAAGAAAGTATATATGTAGGTTATGTAGGTAGTTCAGATAAATTTTCCTCCTAAGACGCCACATTCAACCATTTAATGCGAATTAATTTCATTTTAATTATGAAATAACTAAAAAGTTCTAGTTTCAGCCTTCCAGAATCTCAGCAAAGCTTCTAATCCTATCAAGTCCCAAAAGAACATGAATTATCTATGAGGTACAGATACAGAGTAAGAGACTAAGATACTGAATTTTATATGGATGGTTAATAAGCACATATGTACTGGTGTACATAAGCATCTATTTATGTAGATCACTAAAAGATAACTTGCTCACAAACATACCCATTCCAATCTCTACAGTTCCATCCTCAATCTCAATGTTGTTTTCAGCACCCATATTGAACCTGGAAAATCCATGATAACAGAGCAAACAAAATAATCAGCAATAACCGAACCAACTTCAAAGCAACAAAAATCTTAGAAGTAAGTTTTCGACAAAAACTTAATTACTCTACCTACTTCAATTGCAGAAAACTTCCTTTCTGCTTCTAATAGAAACATTCATCATGAAGCTCTAACATAAACATTTGAGGGTAACTCAGCAAGATAACTCCATACTCACACAAGTAACTTAAACAAAACTTGCATAAAACTATCATCCATTGGAGCTTTGATCAATTCGATTGAAAATGCTGAGGCGATTGCAGTAAATGATTCCTATCTATTTCGGAATTTTTCCCAAAAACAAAAACCGGTTGCTAAAATATCCAAACCATATATATTACCAATGACAAAAGGATGCCAATCAATTTTCAATTAACCGCAAAATATCACTTCAAAATGGCTAAAACGAATCACATGTTCCAAGCAAGAGCGTAATCAAGCAGGTTTGATAAAAGCTAACACACCAAAACTTGCCGAGCAAAAGAAATCAAAACAGATCGATATTATTGAGATTCGAAGGATCGAAAATTGGATCTGGAAAGTTTCATACCTTTTTTCGCTGGAGTTTTGGAATCGAAAAAGCGAGATGGAGACAAGGGCAGGTTCCTGGAGAACGAGGGTGGATGAACAGAGCTAATGAAACGAAAGGAAACTGGGATCTGATGGTAGATAAATTAATTATTATATTCTATTTTATTTGCCTTTTGATATAGTTTTATTTTTCTTTCGAAAACCTTCAAAAAAAGATTTTCGGTGCAAGAAAACCTTCAAATTTTCAATATAGTTAACCAGTATATTAAAAAATAAAGAAACTGTGTATATATAGACTGATGCCATTTTTGTACATAATTTTGGTAATACAATGTTTTTCACATCAAACGTAAATTATTGTCGGAAGAACTGTACAATTGGTTGACCAGTGACGTCCAAATGGCATGGTCTTTACTTCTGTCATCATCCGCGTTTTTTTTATTATTATATATTATTAATCTGCAAGAATAAGAGTGACAATTTATCAAAATTTGTTCTAGTTCCCTTCTACTCATTCTTTATTTACTAGTACGAATCTCGTGCGATGCACGGAATGGACAATTTTAAAGCTATTTTACCTAATCTTATTATCATATTTGTAAATAAAGGATTAAATAAATAGAATAAAAAACGTTTGAAAAATAGTCGTTAGAATCATCAAATTCCATCTAAAACTCAAATAGAAAATTCATTGCAACGGAATATTTTTGTTCGAATTATTCCAGCAGAATATATACCATTGGAAGCGTTGGAATTTTCATTGAAATATACTAACGTTAGATTTTCCGTTGAAATATGCCATTTTTTCATTCCAACCTAGCACTTTGTGTACGGCGCGTGATCTTTAATAAACGAGCAAGCTCAACTCGACACATTTAATAAACGAGCCAAAGGATAGCTCAAGCTCAGCTTGGTTCGTAAACCCAAATTCATACACGAGTTGTTCATGAACACGATTTGTTTATTCGTGAACGTTTTCGACTTAATTGTCCGCTCCATATATGGATAAAAAGTGATATATATATTCGCAAACAAACTTGACTCGATTTAATGAGTACTTTTATAGCTTGCCTTCACGAGGTCGAACCAAAATGTATTAGCGAACAACTCAATTCTACTTCAAGTTTGCAGCACTACCAGTCGTCAGCCCAGGGGCTACGCCGCAAAGGCAAAATTTGTCAAAGAAAATGATTGTAACAAAAAGAGAGCGCCTTTGTGCAGGGCATACAAATGACTTTATCTCGAGTACAATTTTGGTTTTGCATTTGTAACCCATTTTTTCCCACCTTTTTTTGGTTATGTATTTGCAGACTGAGTAGTGAATAGTGACTTAGTGCAGGTCTAAGGAGTAAAAGTATTTATGACCGCTACTACTAATTGTATTGTGATACTTGTAATCTCAACTGAAAGTAAACAATTTGAAATAGAATTTATACTATACCTATGGAGTATGTGTGGTAGCTCCAAGTCCACAAGTACTTGGCATACAACCTTGCAAAATGGTGAAGCCTGAACAGAATATGAGTATTGACATGTATACATACAATAAACGAAGTAATTATGTACAACAAGCTTAAGATTTGAGATGAGATTAATGACCAACATTACTTGACTTATTATGTCAAAAGTTTCCCTTTATATGGTTTTTTGGTGGTGTTCTGTTTATTTGCTCATTATTTTATGAAATGGATAAAAAAAAAAGGTATACGAGATATGCCACGTGGCAGGGCACTTGGTGGGGAGTCGTGATGAAGACGAGTTGCTGCTTATTAGTGAGACTCTCGACATGCTCTCTCACAACTTTGGTTCGTAAGCTGCAAGTTTTATGTTAACCTAAATTTACTGCATCGTTTGTAGTTTGTTCGACTGCCCCTCATTGATTGGTTGATGTCACTTCCTCTCATGGCTGACTAATGCCTGCCCTGATTCATTGATTAGTGAATTACTATGGTGTCTATGGCCCATAGAAGAAGTTTTTATCTTACATTAGAAGTGCGATGTGGGAAGGAAAGATAGTATACCCAAAGAGCCAAGAGGATGTGCAAGTATTTAATTAATCAACGTTAATGTCTTCAAAAAATATGCTCCCTGCTTGATGATATATATGTCTAATAAAGGCTTATGCTCTCTGTTCGTCTTCAACAATGGCAGACAAAAACACAACTCGACAGCACCACATTGCATTCGCAACCACACTGCAAACCCATTCTTGAACCACAATCCTGTCTCACGCTCGAGCTCTTTACTCATAAAGGCGTGATCGACAAAACCAAGCGCGAGATATCTGTCATGAACATGATCAAACACGAGCACGTTGTCCACCTCATTAATAATGAAACGAACAGAGGCTCATTACTAAGAAATAGAAATTTTTTTACATGAAGTACTAAGGGCTGGCAAACAAATAGATATTATATGAGCAATATAGACATGCTAAAGTCCAGAATTTGTAGAACTTACCACAGTTGATATTATACATGACATGTTAAAAACTAGAATAATGGTGACCGTTTTGCAGATTAACTGAACTCAACATTTATCATTACAGAAGATTTATTCGGTTTTATAAAGACAAGTCCAAGCTGGATAATTAATAATCACAGTAAACATTTCTAAACAGAGGCTAAAGAAGCTCCTTCAATATGCATAACAAACACTTGCAAGACATTCCTTTCATTTTATTTTCATGTTCATAAGGATAGATGTTCCAAAAATACATATATAATCAACATAACTCAGTTCTGAGACATGAAATGTAGGTACCGATGATCAATTCAAACTTTGACAACATAATGTCATCCTAAAAATCACTGCCGGGCAATCAAATTCTCCATTCATATAATAGTTCCCAAATTTCACATATGCAACATAACAGTAAAAGAACACAGAAATATCGTCTTTAAGAAAACTCAGCTCTTTAACATGAAGTACCAGAGGCAGGCAAAAGCCATGTCACACATTATATATATATATGCTAAGTCCAGAAATCAAACCTACACGCATCGCGAAACAAGAAACACAACTGACCGGGAATTCAATCTGTATTTAGCAATGACCCAAACTCAAACAGATTGCAAATCTAAAAAGAAACAAGATTGCAAATTGCGATGGCCAAAATTAAAACAGATTGCAAATCTAAAAAAAACAAGATTGCGAATTGCGATGGCCCAAATTCAAACAGATTGCAAATCTTAAAAGAAACCTAGATTTCGAATTGCAATGACCCAAATTCAAACAGATTGCAAAAAGAAACTTAGATTTCGAATTGTGATGACCCAAATTCGAAAGAAAAGCGAATTCTGCGATAAAAATTGCACGACGGAAAACGCGCCCCATCAAAGTCAAAACCCTGTGGGCGGGCTAAAGTTGACATTTCCTACAATATACGAAACGAAAAAAAATATATATATATATATATATATATATTCAAGAAAACATTCTCCCGGCGAATATTAAAATCGAATTCAATTATGATATAAATCGAATAAGCAGAACATTAAAGAATAAGAAACAAAATCTATTTCAACTGCGATGAAAATCGAATAAGCAGAACAGTAGAGAATAAGAAACAAAATCGAATTCAAGTGCGATGAAAATCGCTATGAAAAGCAAGCGGCAGAAGAGTAAAATCATGAAAAGCAGAGGTTGGTTACCCAAATAAATTGCTAAAGTCCAAATGAAGACGGTGATGGCGAAAACCACCACGAGAAGCAGAACAGTCGCGCATGCTCTGTTAGAGTTGGGTCCGTTCTTCAGGAATTTCTTCTTGCCGATGGGTTTTGGCTTGTCGAACATTTTCACCGGATGCTTCCTGCTGCAAGTGCCATTCGTCCAACCACCCTGCTTTGTCATCGTGAAGAAAGTGAGCGGAAGAAGTGGAGGAAGTATGCTCTGAAAATCTTGAAGTGAAGAAAATTAATGAGGGTGAAGAAAGATGATTGGAGAGAATCTGTTATTAAATAGGTTTGAAGCTCATGCAAAAAGGGGCAGTTATTAAATCCATGGTGGGTTGTTCTCTCTGGCCGGCCATTGTGACAGGCTGGCGCTGTGTGTTCGTCGGACGATGACCGATGTTGGACCAACGAGCATTACGCCAGTTCCCGCTTTTCCGTCCTCTCGGACAAGCTTCGAGTTTTAAATGAATATAATATTATAGATAAAGTTGAAAGAACGAATAAAAATTAAATGTCGAACAAAATTAGTTAACAAAAAGTGATACACCAACAAGGTCATATAATTTGGAACGGAGGTAGTATGAAAGATTATTTTAAAAACGTGATTGTTGAATTTGATCACAGGATTATATGAATCATGAATTTTATTTTGATTCTGAAGGCTTTGATGAACTTCAATTTTCTCATTCCGGTACTCACTGGAGCTTCTGCTCTGACGATTCGTATGTGATTTCCCTTTTTCGCCTTTCTGTTACTGTTTACTTTTCCAATAATATGTAAAGGTATAAAGCAAGTAGTTTATTGTCAATACCTTGTAATTCAAATATAGAACTTGATATTTAAATTTTTTTTAGTCACAACGGGCTAAAATGACGATCATGTTAATTTATTTTTATTTTTTTCTGCCTATATCTGTATTATTAATTCGACTGATGTACTCATTGGTTGTGATATAGGTTTCGAGCATTACTTTGATCAAACATGATTATTCTGCCCGTTCTCATGTATTAAAGCCATTGCATGTATATATGAAAGCATGGATACATCTCTGTCTTATTAAAATTGGATTGTAAGAGAAACTGAAGCGAGATTGGTTTTCTTTATTTATTTGTTTTATGTGCTTTTAGACCGTTCTCTGTGCGTTCAACTTGGTCATGAAACAGAAGCTTTAAAACGGCCTTATGTAATTATTAGTTCCACTTCTGCCTCTTAAGTTAGACCTTCATTAAGTTGGAAGCTTCTCAATGTGTGATTGGAAATAGATTGAAGTTGCCTTGATTTCTCCTTTTTTGTTTGCAGGGTACTGCCGGAATCATTCATTAGGGAAGATGATGTGAGTATTCGTATTATGCTGCACTATATCGCCACGTCTTATGGTTTATTGTTTACTATTATCATGATTTTATATTGCATTAATAAATTCTAAAGAAAGGATGATGAAGCATTAATTTAGAAACACATACATGAATAGATGTAAAAATTTGTCGTGAAATTCAGCAACAATTGGAAGAAACAAATAGAATATGCCTTGGTTAAATAGGTATGTTGATTATGGGAATGCAAGAAGAATATGACAAACTCAAGGAACTTTTTGGAGTGCCAATTGTACCGATTTTCAATGTGTAGTAATGTTGCAATAAAATTGATAATGTGTAAAGACCATATAGATTTTGCTTGGTTTAGGCTACCTGGGATATTTTTGAAATGGAGAAGTTAAAAAATGGCCTAGAATCAGTGAATTACTTTGGTGTCTACGGCCCATAGAAGAAGGTTTTATCTAACATCAGAAGTGCGATGTGGGAAGGAAAGACAGTATACCCAAAGAGCCAAGAGGATGTGCAAGTATTTAATTAATCAACGTGAATGTCTTCAAAAAATATGCTCCCTACTTGATGTAATATATGTCTAATAAAGGCTTATGCTCTCTGTTCGTCTTCAACAATGACAGGCAAAAACACAACTCAACAGCACCACACTGCATTCGCAACCACACTGCAAACCCATTCTTGAACCACAATCCTGTCTCACGCTCGAGCTCTTTACTCATAAAGGCGTGATCGACCAAACCAAGCGCGAGATATTTGTCATGAACATGATTAAACACGAGCACGTTGTCCACCTCATTAATAATGAAACGAACAGAGGCTCATTACTAAGAAATAGCAAATTTTTTACATGAAGTACTAGGGGCAGGCAAACAAATAGATATTATATGAGCAATATATAGACATGCTAAAGTCTAGAATTTGTAGAACTTACCACAGTTGATATTATACATGACATGCTAAAAACTAGAATAATGGCGATCCTTTTGCATATTAACTGAACTCAAACATTTATCATTACAGAAGATTTATTCGGTTTTATAAAGACAAGTCCAAGCCGGATAATTAATAATCACAGTAAACATTCCTAAACAGAGGCTAAAGAAGCTCCTTCAATATGCATAACAAACACTTGCAAGACATTCCTTTCATTTTCTTTTCATGTTCATAAAGATAGATGTTCCAAAAATACATATATAATCAACATAACTCAGTTCTGAGACATGAAATGTAGGTACCGATGATCAATTCAAACTTTGACAACATAATGTCATCCTAAAAATCACTGCCGAGCAATCAAATTCTCTATTCATATAATAGTTCCCAAATTTCACATATGCAACATAACAGTAAAAGAACACAGAAATATCGTCTTTAAGAAAACTCAGCTCTTTAACATGAAGTACCAGGGGCAGGCAAAAGCCATGTCACACATTATATACAGACATGCTAAGTCCAGAAATCAAACCTACACGCATCGCGAAAAAAGAAACACAGCTGACCGGGAATTCGATCTGTATTTAGCAATGACCCAAACTCAAACAGATTGCAAATCTCAAAAGAAACAAGATTGCGAATTGCGATGACCCAAATTCAAACAGATTGCAAATCTCAAAAGAAACAAGATTGCGAATTGCGATGGCCCAAATTCAAACAGATTGCAAATCTTAAAAGAAACCTAGATTTCGAATTGCAATGACCCAAATTCAAACAGATTGCAAAAAGAAACCTAGATTTCGAATTGCAATGACCCAAATTAGAAAGAAAAGCGAATTCTGCGATAAAAATCGCACGACAGAAAATGCGCCCCATCAAAGTCAAAACCCTGTGGGCGGGTTAAAGTTGACATTTCCTACTATATAC